GGACTGGCCTAGGGGAAAATTTTTAATGGGGGTTTTAAAGTAATTTTAAACTAACTAGACCAATTATTAATATTTGTTTTTAATTATGTTTTTAATCTGTAGTTTTTTGGGATTAGCATTTTTATCTGGTTGTTAGCCGCCCTGAGTCCGCAAGGAGAAGGGCGGGATATAAATTAAATAAATAAATAAATAAATAAATCTGTAAAAGGGACGGTCCACTGAATGATCTCATTATACTTTTGGGGACAGAACCACAAATGAACTGGAGGTGAGAAGAGGAGAGAGCCTACAAGATAAATTCAGATTTGTCTATACAACAGTATAAACGTTGCAATGAACAAGGCTCTATACAGCTCAAGCAAAGAAAATGTATACTGCAAGTAAAAGCAGTTAGGATCAATCTAGAGCATTCTCATTTAGTATCAGTCTACAGGCAGTGAAAAAGACCCTTTCCTCATTGAGTTAGACAAGCAAATAATTGGAGGTAGGTAGCTTCTTATAGTCTAAAGATGTACTTCTCAACCTCAGCAATTTTAAGATGTCTGGACTTCAAAACCTAGAATTCCCCAGCCAGCACGTTTGTTTCCCAGCCAAAGCTGAGAAACATCATTCTAAAGCAACAGCTGTGTTTCTCTATTCTGAAAACTCAACATTTTAAGTCTCCCGTATCGATAGAACCCTCAAATACAGCTGAATTGTCTGAAATCTTACAAAAATGACTAAATCTCACAAGATTTTTATGTTCAGATTGGATGAAGTTTTGGTATTCAATATATAAAAAGACCTGATCTTTTAACAAACTGAAGCTCAACTAGGCAATCAATATTGTCTCAAAAGTAACTTTTATTAATTCTCCTACAAACCTTGAATAACCTCGCCACTGATTGATTTATTTAGATGATGTCCGATGGAGTCTTCTGAAGAGTTTATGATTTCATGTTGATTTTTCATTGTAAATTTGAAATAAGAGAAGCTGAGAGGTACAATTGAGTCATGGTGCTCTTTCCTTTGTTGAGCAAATTTCTAAGGAAAGAAGGGCAAATGCTACAAAGCTTGATCCTCAGGAAAATAGAATACACGATTCCCTCCCAATAAAGGCATGTGGATAGGTCAAGCTCATAGCCAGAAATACTCTTGTCTCTGCTTATCTCCAGAATATGCTATTTCACTTGCAAATTGTTTATTCTCCAAACACCAAGCATTTGTGGCTAAAAAAAAAAGCTTGAGAAAGGGGTGAACTGCCACCCTAAGTGTTTCTACTATTACATTCTGCAAAACATGAAATCATGCTGACCCTTTCTGTATTATTTCTCATTATTTTAGTTCTACTTCAGTCAATGTGTACTACTGAGTTCAGTTAGTGCAGTGGTTCTCAACCTGTGGGTCGCGACCCCATTTGGGGTCGATCGACCATTTCACGGGGGTCGCCAAGCAAGGCTGTCCGCCATTTTTTTCCCCTTTTCCAGCGGGTGCCTTACCTCCCTTGGGCTGGGCCAGCTGGTGGTCCGCCTGCTCCGTCTCTGCCGCTTGCCAGCTACGCCTCGGCCGGCGCAGGGGGCGGAACCACGCATGCGCGGCGCTCCCAGGCAGGGAAAGTCCTCAACTTACGACCGGTTTGGTAGTCCTCGACTTACGACCGGTTTAGTCCTCGACTTACGACCGGTTGGGGTCACGGCATTAAAAAGGTTGAGAACCACTGAGTTAGTGGGACTTGTTCATCAAAAGGAAAGCATTGAGAGTTCAGCAAGTCCTTCTGCTTTGGCATTCAATGCAATCATTTTGCTTATTGTGAAAACTCTACCTTTTCAAGAGCAAACCTCCTGTCATGCCTATAAGAAGATCCAGCTGGGTTTTGATTTATGTTTGTTTGTTGGGGTGGGGTGGGGGGTTCGAGCAGAGAGGACAACTTTGCAGCTACTCATTAAAGGACCATCAAATATTTGTTTTTGGTCCTTCTTCATCTACTTGCTCTACAGATCAACACCAACAACCATAATCTCTTAAGAGCCGGTTCAAGTGCTCAGTAGGGCCTCTGATGAATTTCTGGAATTAATTCCCAGAAATCATATCAAAAAAGGATTTTTGACTGATGAAACTTTTCTAAATTATCTGTGATAGGCTACAGTATCGGACTCCAATCTTCTGTACATCTATAATGGCTGCAGCTGGTTCGCTCTGCTCTCTGTCTGACTGCTGGCACCTTGAGCAATCAAAGCACTTTGCCTACCACACACAGGCACCCCCATCTGCCTTGTGCCTGACAATACTTCTGAATGGGTACCATGAAAAGAAGAGGCTGCACACTTGCCAAAGGCCAGACATGACCCTGTTCTTTCTGGGACACAATCACAAAGCCCTCGTTAAAATGCATATGGCTGGCAGCAGGTCCAGGATGTAATTAGGACATTGTCCAAGGACTATTGAAGGGCTGCAAGGGAGACTATTCAATACACTGTAGATGTACTGGTGCCTTGAAACACAAGCCAAGCCATTTCAGCCCAATTATTAAAAAAGAAAAAAGAAATGAAATGAAAAGATGGGAAGGCAGCCAAATGCAAAGAAATACACATATTGACGCAACTACCCCTCTGCAAAAGTACAAGCAGCCTAGCATGACAAGCAAAAGGGGCAGCTGCTTCTTCCAACTCATTACAGCAGGACAATGGCTTCAGTTGATGACACTTAAGAGGTACAGAATATGAAGTGTTCTAAAAAAGAAAACACCGAAATAAAGAATAGAATCAGTGGCAGAATAGCACAGGAATCTGCCTTATCCCACATAAACCCACAAGGCTCTATTTGTTTAAACCGTGCTTTGTTGAACAACCCATACTGGGTGGATTCACATATCATTTTAAGCCAAAACCAAAAGTGAAATCCAGCCACTGACTCCAGGAGATAGAAAGATCATCCATATCATTTGCTATATTAACCATTTACCTCGCAATGTTAGACTTTTTAGAAATAAAAGGATTGGGTAGAAATAAAGCCTTTACTCCACTGTTATGTTCTCATTTTTGAAAAAGAAATCACTGCTCTTAAATCATTACGATATGCAGTCAAAACCAGGAAAGTTGTGCCCTGGTTTCTAATGAAAACAGAGGCAGCATGGAAACTGCTCCAATAACAGATAATTCGGAGAACAGAAAGCAGGTACAAAGAGATCAAGCTGAATGAAAACATTCAAAACCCAACAGCATAAAAAGCCAAACACTATTAGCCTACCAAGTGGATAAAAAACTTTGAAAAGTCTTTTTCTATCACATCTTCCCAAGATCTACCACGTATATGACTAAATATGAGTATCATTTGATGCAACATTGCCTTACTTGCTGCATTTTTTCCAGATCGAGACTGGGTCTCCCGACTTTGTCACCATAGCCCTGTCGGTGTCGTTTACATGGCATGCCTTGCTCAAAGCTGCCTCCAACGCTTGTAAAAATTATAGGCCGGGATGATGTGGTCCGTACCAAGGACTGCAGTCTCTTAGGAGGTGAGGCACTGAAGAGCACTGGGCTGGTACTGGCACGCAAACCCTCCACAGCTTCGACCACTGGTCGGAAGGATTTGCCACACAAGGTCTTTACTTCCTCATCACTGGAGGAGGTATTACAGCTGTCACTGCAGCAGCCAAACCTGCTGACCTGAGACCACTTCCGTTTCTCAGCAGCAAATTCACGGGTGATACATTCCAACTCTTCTTCAGAGCTATGGTGATCCAGCCCAGAAGGAAAATGGGCCCGCACTTTGCAGCATTGATTTTCTTGATTTTGCTGTTGATTGGTTGCCAAGGGAGTCAAGGTGCAATTCCGTCTTCTCTCTGGGAAAATATTTAAAACAGTGATAGAGAAGATCTTAACGCAGCCTTACAATAGTGATTTAAAAACAGTAATCCCATTCCCACTCCTTCTATCAAATAGGTCCTTCAACCCAGACACTGGAAGGTGTTAAGAATGGCAACAGGCAGGATAGTTGAGCACTTCTGAAATCATCAGGAAAATGAATGTTCCTATATTTAAGAAGAACTGGTATACTCACACGGCGAAGGACACTCTTATTATCTAGGACCCACTAAGACTCAATCAGCTACAAATAACTGAAGTCCCTTGAAAATGCCAATGGTGCTTTTTCAAGAGGCAACTGGATTTTGGTGTTGTAAGAAATCAGTGACCTTTTTCTTGTTACTGCTGGTGGGATCTCTCTTCAGAGTCTCCTATCTAGTAGTGTCCTTTGGAAGACTGTTCACTTTGGCCTTGTAGCCATCTGTGTTCAGGTTGACTGCAGTTGCCTTGAAAAAGCACCTTTGGGACAACCATGACCTGGATGACTGAGAATCTCCATAGACAAATCCCTTGAAAACAGAACTCTGTACAGAGGGAGAACTAAGATTAATTCATGAGGAGGAGATGGGGACAGTACACATTAAGGATAAATAGAAAAAAGCTATGTAAGCTGTGTAAAGTCATTATTACAGTATGAGTGAAATTTAATGAAAAATGGCTACATTTCTATAGGCTGGAAGAAAGTAAGAGTAGAAGCAGGGTCTATTTTGAGTACTCAACTAGTAGCTCTGTACAATTCAGAACTCATATTCCACATGTACCTACTGACAAAGTACTCCACTACTTTCTGACCAGTCTACGTGTCCATGGCAGACAAAATCTTATATTACTTTAGTATCTTATCAAAAAGGGGGAGAAAACAACAACCATCCAATCCATATTAATTTGGGTAACATGTAGTGCCAATATATAACGTGATTAACTTGATTTAGACTTAATGATTTGGGTCTAACCAACAAATATAACTTGTAGCCCATAGTTAGAACTTGGAATAACTGAGTTGGAAGGGACCTTGAAGTTATCTAGTCAAAATTCCTGCTCAAGCAGGAGAGACTATACCATTTCAAATAAATGGCTGTCCAGTCTCTTCTTGAAAGCCTCCAGTGTTGAAGCACCCACACATAAACACAGCCAATTATAATTTAATTTATATACCATGTTGACAGAAACCATGACTTAGCATGATGTGCAAATTCTGTCAACGATTGTATCTCAGGTTGTATCACAAATAGAAGGTACACTAACCTAACAGAATTTGCTTTTGTAGAATGAAACAGCAATTTTGGCTAATCTGTCCTACAGCTATCATCACTACCCTCACATGAAGAGGTTCACCAGCAGAAGGATCTCAAACCAAGGCATATAAAAGTGGCCAAATCCTAGCAAAGATCATAGGACCACAGAGTTTCTCAAATTTGGAGCAAGATCCACAGCAGAATTCCCAACCACTCATAAAGCTTACTGGCTATTATTGCTCCCATCGTCATCTATCACCCCAATTTAACTTCATTTTTCCAAGAATAAAATCAAGCAGCCTGCCCTTGTACATCACTCTATAGTGATATATAGTCTACACTCTATAGTGATGTACACTCTACAGTCTGGTGTGGAAGCATCACTGCTTCAGACAGGAAGGCGGTGCAGAGAGTGGTGAGGATGGCAGAAAAGATTATTAGCAGTTCACTCCCTTCTATACAGGACATAGCATTAAGCGTTGCTTGAGCAGGGTCCGCAAGATTGTCTGGGACACTACACATCCTCTTCACAACCTGTTTTCTTTGTTACCTTCTGAGAGGATGCTTTGTGGTATTCGAAGCAGAACATCCAGATTCAGATACAGTTTTGTTCCATACAGTATTAACCTTGTAAACTCTCAAGCTTCTTCTTTCCACTATGTATTCAAGATGGACAGTGATTAATATTTATATGTATTTATATATATAAGGGTGTAGGTATATACATGTTATATATAGCATGTTTATATATGTGTTATGTATGTGTACACTTTTGAGAGCAGGCAACAGAATTTCATTTTTAATATGTGCCAGTGTGCCTACAATAAAAAATAATAAGAAATAAGAAATAATAAAAAATGTCATAAAACATTTCCTGTGTTGATGTTTGACTATATTATACAGTTTAATGTGGGCTACTTTCAAGGCAAATACATCTCTGAAGGTATCCTAACTTTTCCAGTGAAGCAGAACATTAGAAACTCGTGTCACTGCTGAAGGCATTGAGGAATCTGGTAAGGAAATACCTCTGAAAGAATGACCCCAGGGGTCACGGGTTGTCTAGTTAACCCATTCATCTTGACCACTGCTCATGCTAGCCAGAGTTAATAAGACTTAAACAAGATCTGGAAGGCATCAAATTTGAGAAGACTGCTGGACAGGAAATTCTTAGTTTCAGGGAAGGTGAAATTACCCATACGGGATAGGATTACATAAATTGTAATAAAAGTTGACAGACCTGCAACTAGAAAGCAAATACCTGGAAATTACAATGCAAGTTTAACACTAATATTCTTAGTAGGTTTCCTAAATACTGGAATGCTTTACCTCTGTCAATCTGAGCAAGTTCCTGGTTCTCTCCCTCAGAATCATCACTGTCTTCCTCATCACTTGGTGTGTAGGAAATCTAGGAGCAAATGCATATTTAAAAATCATTCAACATGAAATGTGCAACTGGCAAATTTTAGTCGCCTGTTTAATTTTCAAAAGCATTTCTTTATGAATGCATATTCATACCCAAATTAATCTCATTTTTTTACATTAAAAAAATCTTAACAGAAATGTTTGTTTCAGCAAGTTCTTTTCAACTTCTCCTTTTCTGCATATGATGCATTTCAAAATTATTTGATATCCAAGAGGGAGAGAGCCCCATAGCCAATTTTGGAGAAGAGAGAAATCCAGTGGCTTCTAAATCACCTATTATGTAGTTTGAGAGGTCCAGAGCAGACTCACTCATAAGAAAATCTGCAAATAATGCATTCAATTTGGCATTCCTAACATGAAAACCAACACTTGCATCTCCTGCTGTCTCCACAGACATCTGTAAAATCTGTACATAAACAACACAATTCACATTAGGTAAAATTCTGTTTCCTTATCAGAGGTATGCAATTTGACAACTGAAGGACTCTCTTAGCTGCAGTGACACACCTGTGGACTAACCTCCCTAAAGCAGTTCAACTGTAACAAACCTGTTCATCACCAAGCACAAGTATTCTTATTCAATCAGGCATTCTAATTTACTATAATTTGGGGGGGGGGGGTTATAACAAACTACTCTGACATTTTTGGTATTGTATTGTATTGTTACGCAGTTAGTTGAATGCTACCTGGAATGTTAAACTTGTAAAGTATATCCACATGCTGCATGCTAGAAACACACATACAGATCCAGCCCCAAAATCTGAAAGTTGGGTAATTGTTGCGTCTCAGTGCGCCCTCCCCAACTTCGCAGCTTCCTGACAGACGTGATGACTGAGGATGAGTCCTCATCTAATATATCTGGACAACTGCAGCTTGGGGAAAACTGATGGAAAATATTTTGCCATATTATATGCATATTTCTTTCAAAAACCTCCAAAGGAAATCTACATTGTTCATCTGTCCCTTCTTTCCTTAGCTTTTTTAGTAACAGTGTACATTGGAGGCTTCCTATCATCTTTGCTATTCCTTGAAATCCAGATTGGAATGTCAAAAAAAACACCATAATAACCACTTAAAAAATCTCATTAGTACTATAAACAACTGATCTGTTCTGTCATTTGAAATATCTTAAGAAATTGTTTCATTTGCCCAAGTTTGCTGCTATCTCATTCTGTTACAATTTATTGGTCTCTTCCCCAGCCAAAAAACGAATTATTACTATACAACGGCTTTGCTAATAATCTAAATTTATTTTTATCAATTAAATTTCTGTGACACACCATGTTACTGATAACAATGACTTTGGGCAGCTCACAATATAATAAAAAGTTAAAAAGTGCTAAAATACCATTTAAATTAGAAAAATTGAATAGAGAAGTTAAAAGGTTATAAAAACCAAGATGATGGGAGGCGTAAGTATCATTGCTACCCAATCAGTCATTCCTAGTTTAGTAGGTCCCTGTTGGGGCCCCAGGCCAAGCAGCATAGCCAAGTTCTTAGGCTCTTCCAGAAGGAGTGTGGGGGTGGACTTCACCTACCACAGAAGAATATTCCAGAGGGTGGGAGGAGCCACATCAGAAAAGGCTTTTTTCCTGGACCTCCCAGCTAAAATTCTTTGGATGATGGGATCCAAAGTAGGCTGGAATGGGTAGAGCAGGTTAGTCCCATCAGGGAAAGACAGTTACTCAGATACCCTGGATCCATGCCATAAAGGGCTTTAGAGGTAATGACCAACACCCTGAATTGGATCCAGAAGCAAATTGGCAGCCAGAGCAGCCTGCATAACAGAGTGTCACATGTGCCACCCAAGGGGGCTACAGAACTGTCCTCTCTGCTGTATATTGCACCAGTTGTAACTTCTGAATACTCTTCAATATATTTGGAGATGACCAGGGCATGAGTGACTGGGCACAGGGCCTCACAAGCCAGGAAATGGCACAATTGGTGCACAACATGGCTGCTACTTGCTATTTGAGCAGGAGTCACAAGTCTAGGAGAACCCCCAAATTGCTCACTGGGTCTGTCTGTGTAGTGCAACCCCATCCAGATTTATCCAGATGATAAATTCCCAGATCCAGAGGCCCCTTGAATCCACAGCCACTTTGTCTTACCAGGGTTCAGCTTGTTGTCCCCATCCCTTACAGCCTCCAGACATTGCAAGAGGGCAGTTACAGCATCATTTGTATCACCAGGGATGGAGATTTAAAGTTGGGTATCATCAGCTTATTGATGATACCTCATCCCATGATGTTGGGTGATCTTACCCAGCAGTTTTACTGTACATGTATGTTAAAAAAAACACCGAGCCCTGCAGCATGCCACAAAGTAGCGGCCGTGGGCTGGACCTCTCACTCCCTATCAATACTGATTGGGACAGGACTTGAAGAAAGGAACTGAACCAGCATAAAACTGCACCGTCCAGCCCCAGCTCTTAAAGAGGGCCCAAAGGGATACCATCATCAATAGAATTAAAAGCTGCTGAGAGTCAAGCAGAGCAAAGATGGATGCAGTACCCCCATCCTGCTCCCACCAGAGATCATCTACAAGTGTGACCAATGCTCTCTCTGTCCCATAAATAGGCCTGAAACCTGACTGAAACCAGTGCTCTAGCTGTCTCTTGACTCTTTGTCAAGGTTAGAATATTCCTAACAACCCTCCCATTTACTGCCACTTCTCCATTTTATGAAACTAATTATAGTATGCATGTTATTGCACTAACTATTGGTTGGAGAACCATGAAGTTGTTGATTTGTGGTAATTGGTTTTACCTTGATTGCTACTATTCATATTGATACTACTTTAAATGTTATCTGCCCAAATAAATAAATAAATAAAATCTGGAAGTATGCTAAGAGTGAAATGATTCGGTGGCACATACAGTAGGACCCTTTTATTTACATAATCACAATTATCCTCAACAGAAACACTATGAAGTATATTAGCAACAATATTAATATTATCTCCATGTTTCAAAGAATAATTACTACTTCAGGGCTACACAGTTCATCTCTGGCTCACAAAAGCTGCAAATCTTATGCAAGGACTAGCAGTTTTGGGAGCCTGCAGCTTTCCTAGAGGCTTATAATATAAAGAGATAGAGGGTTTTTAACTCATTGTGTAATAATCCTGAAGGGAGACAGCTAAAAGAACATAAAAACCACAGATATGTAAAGTATTTAATTGAAATTCACATATCATCAAGTATGTTCTTTTTCATGATGCTCAGAAAATATTTTAATAAATGCTATTTAGCTCAGAAACCAAAAGAAAAGATTTGTGTGCTTTCCAGTTCCATATTCTGTTTACATTACAGTTTCTGCTTAGTTTAACAGCTGCTAAAAAGGTACATTAATTGTAGAAAATTGTAGAAAGCACATGACATTGTATACAAGAATGTCAATGTTACCAAACACTGTTCAACATGTTAAATTTAATTGTAGAAAGCTAATGTTGTCTGGATATCAGACAAGGACACTATTCTAGTATCTCCTTTCTTCTCTTCACCAGAGATATTTCATCAGATATTTCAAAGAATATCCCATTTCTGGATGGGTAGAAATGACACTATCCAGCTTTCTACTTTTAGTTTGGCTTAGTGCTGATTCATTTCCACATTTTGTGGATAATTCATGCATTTATTGCAACTTTGAATCTAACACTTTTTTCTAAAAAAAAACAAATATTGCGATCAGGCCGTAATTTACATCTTTATCTTCTCCAAAAAGATTATATAATATTTTATATACTAAAATTCTCCAGATAACTTGGATTTTCAAACAGATAATTTTTTAAATGTAATACATCTACAACTTCATTGCTTTGTGTTGTTCTCACCAGAGAAAGAGAGTGAACTATGCGATATCTCAAAGAGTGTCTAGCTAGGAATTAAGAATCCATTATATCCTCAATTCTGTGGTGTTAAAGTAAGGTGGTTTTCTGTTGTCATACTCTCCTCATTGGCAGAGAAGATGCAGTCTCACTCCAACTCATTAAACGATATAAGCAGAAAAGGAGCAGATATTCTTCCAAAGATAAAACCAGTAGCAACAAGAGATTGGGATATTTCATTTGAATAGACTTGAGATGTCTCATGGGCTTCACCAAATACTAGTTCCCCAAATCTTCCCAAAAGCTGCAACAGTTAAAATAGGCACACCACAGAAGGAATTAGCAAAGATACTACATTTCTCACACTGAGTGACTCAATAGAGCTATTTCAACAAAACTATTTCTTTTTCTCAGGAAACCACCTCTATGACACGCCTCTCCCTAAACATTTTCAACGTTAATTTCCGTAACTTTTAAAAATTAGTATCTTCCTCTTCTCTCATTTTTTTTGTGATAAGTCTTTTACATAATACATATGAGGGCAAGTAATGTATATATATTTTTTATCAACAGCCACTCCAGCAACCCCAATGAGCTAAGACAGAAACATTTCCAAGCATGGTATCTTAAGAAACCAGAAATATTTTTTAAAACTTACAACTTTAAATAAGGACTTTGCATATAATTCTTTATACGATAGCTGTGTCTTCAAACCCAACAATTGAGGTATAGACTCTAGCAGTCGTTCTCATTCATTCAAGCATTTTTTGCTCCCACTCAAGACAGCAAATGCTTACGTTTCCTTGAATGCAATAGTCATTTTTGCCATCCAAGCATGAAATAATGAAACCAGAAGAAGAAAAGTCAAAATGTTTAAGACACTTTTACCATTGACTCTTTCTCCCAAATTTGGAAGCAGAAGCGCAAGAAAACTGAGCACTCCACACATACAAATGAAATCGCCTTTTTGTTTAAACCATAATAAATAATTTGGGGTGAGCAGCAAACTTGAACACTGTAATGCTGACTCTTAATTATAAATAATTTATAAAAAAAAATCCTTGTAAAATCCCATGATGTGCCTCTCCCCTTGGAAGAATGTTTTATTTATTATATCTTTAATTACAAATTATATGCACCTCCATAGTTTACAGA